CTTTATTCATGGAAGGAAAAAGCACATGCATGAAGACAGCATGGGACATGACCCAAGCACCAAAGCAACCAGTGTCCATTAAAAAAAATCTTTAAAATTCACACCCCTTCAATTGTATGTAGCCAGCTCTCTTGCTGGTTACCCAGTATTTTTTACCCCCATGTAAGACCCAACTTAACCTCCCAAGCTGTTGCTGCAGGATTTGGAACAGGAGAATAAATTATATGATTCTTTCTCAATAGTTTTAGGGTGTATAGCTGTCCTCATTTGTTATCCACAAGACTTTATTCACTCAAGAAGGGAAAAAAAAGGAAGCCATCAACCCTCCCTCTGCTTTTCCTCTGACAAAATTAATGTGGTGACATTGTTTCTATAAAGGGAAGAGGTAGGTGGGAACATCTCTTCAGGGATGTTGGCTTACAAAATGTGAACACTACATGACACACATGGAATGGAGCTTGATGTGGATGTGGAAGCTGCCTGGTCACACACATAAGATTCTCTGTGGACTTGGCATACAGCTGCACAACCCAACTGGGAGACAGGGGAGACAAACAGCTCCTTGAATTCTCCCCTAGAATATGCCCCTGTCACATTCAGGCAGAAGCAGTCACACTGGAGAAGACTTTTGCCCTTCGTGCCACAACACTTGTAGAAGTTAATATAAACTGGCTTGGGAAATAAGTCTCAAAGCAATGTGCATACATTTATCCATCTTAATGACACAAAAACAAGACTCAACAGTGATGTTTTACATAACCAAATAACAGATTGTTGCATTATTCACTGACTCTGTTACCATGGTGCTCAGCTAGCCTTGAGCATACTATCTAGAATAGTAATGTGCTTCAGGTATCATGATGGTAAAACCCAGGACCAACATTGTCCTAGCTGGGTGTTTTTGTCTAGGTGTATGCTGAACTGCATAGGTCACTGACATTGTCAGTGTGAAGGACTATCATAAGCATTTGGTACTACCTATGTTTGCCTACAAGACTGAGGCCATGGTGAAGCAGAAAGAGAAGGGCAGAGTCTTTTTTTGTAGAATACTGTGAAGGAAACTGAGTTTTGTCATCATCCAGTGACTGCTGTGCATGGCTGAGGAAGGCAGTCATGGAAATATACACAGAAAAAATGTTGGGCTTCTTGATGAAGACATTTCTCTTGAATACTGCAGGTATCTCAGTGAAAAACAAATGATCCAAATGCATATTTTTTCCTTGAACCCATTACAGCCATTCCACACAGGTATTGTACTCATCACCAGTTATTCATTAAGCAGCATGACTAATGTCTGTCACGTGGTGTTTGTTCACTCATTATCTGTCCACGGGTGAAGAAGTCTGGTGCAGTGGTATGCAGGTTGGTTTCTTTATTATTGTTTAGTATGTGTTACTGTACATTCAGGACACAAAACATGCTAAGTGCAAATACTTAGGTCAAGAATTGTGAACAATCCCACAGAGAATTTTTGAACTATCTCCAAATGTCTCATATTAAATTCTACATCATCTGCAGACTCCCCTTATCCTTTCCGTATACTGGACTGTACCAGAGAAGGCAAACTGCTTATCACACTAGTACACCCTTCAACTTACTTAAAACCATACACGGCTAGATGCATAGCACTTGAAAGCAATGTTGGAGGTGTCCAACTTTGAATGGATAGAGAAAAGTGAAAGATGCAGAGTTGACAGGCACTATTGAGAACAGGCCATCAACCAGGCAAAACCAGACTTCCAAGTGAAAAATGGCAGAGGCTTGAAGAGAAGGTCATATTTCATACTTAGTACAACCTGCAGTCTTTGCCACTACATGACAGGTTTCCTTTGCCCAAATAATGTCTTTTATTTGCTCTATCTAAAACATCTTCTGACATTTATCCATTCATTTCAGGCTGTTCTAGGAAACATCTGTACAGCAAATGTGTGTTAGACATACAGCTTGGATGAAAGAGATTTCCTTTTGGGCTGGACAGCCTGAAATAATGACCTATGCAAATAATATAAATGATTGATACTTATGGTATTGCTCACCACAGTGCTACCTGCTGTTTCCCGCCTGATTTTTTAATGAGATTTGCAAGCCTTTGAGTAAATAACCCCAGCCTTTTCATTAACTTAGCCAGCATGAAAAGCTGTGGGGCCTATGTGGCAGGTGCTGTGGGTTAACAATAGGGGTACTGTTTAATCAAAGGGGAACAGAGAGTAGAAAAGGGCCATGAATAAAAGGATATAGGATCTTCTATGAGGTCAGGAGAGGTATTTTAGATCAGGAGGTGCAAAAAGAGGCCAGCTACGAAAAATATTCCTTCTTGCCACACTCACTTGGACAGCAGCATGAAATTATGCCTTGTAATTTGTTCTGCAAAAGACAAAGGACTCAAAGAGAAGTATCTAAATGCAAGAAGTTTGTTGATATTCAGAGGATTGCTTCTACTTGTGGGAGCTGTTGGCTGCAGTTCCTAAGGGGATAGACTATTCCTCTGGATGGTCCTCCTTACCAGGCTCACTTCTTTGAAACTAGGAGAACCTCAAGGAGTCAGTCTAGCAACAGCAATAGCATTTCAACACAAGGAAAAATGGTATGTGATTTACAGGTTTGTTTGTTTTTAAACACTGACTGACTCAGTTACTAAGAGCACTAATTATCACAATCATGATTGGGAGTTTAGACTGGAAAGCAGAAATGTTGAATTGAAATTGCAAACCTTTTATAAAATGCCTGGAACTGATTTTGCTCTCATCTGTGCTTTATAATTGCAGTAGATTCAGGGTCATTCATGTCATTCCTTGTGCCTTTAAGATAGTGTTTCAGTGGTATAAATTGGCCTTTAGAGACTGGAAGGCAGATGGAGAAGGGTACAGTTTCAAAATTTAATCAAATACCTTCCAGTTAGGAAGCACAGATGTGTTACAGGGTCAAGAACACAGAAGTGCAATATTGCTATAATGTGTCAGGCTACTGCTGCTGCTGTTGGAATAATCTAACCATTTGCAGGTGACTCAGAAGGTGCAAGAGTACCAAAAAGAAAATGGTATCATAGTTTGCCTATGGGAACGGTTCTATCTCAATAATTTCAGTCACTTGCCATAAGTATTTACATACCTTATAGTTTCTAAACTTTAATTTTAAATCAGCAAGCGAGGCAATGTGGCCAATGTCTTTTCAAGTTTTGCAGAGGTTGTGGGCCAAGTGATAACACCCGGGATTAATTTTAGCGCATAATGAAATTCTTCTTTGCATTTTAATTAAGAGCTCTGCCTTACAGCTTCATAAAACATCCCCTATTTTTGCCTTAGTAAAAAATGTTACTGTAGTTTCTCTAAGACACTTGTTATTTTAAAAATGTTTCTTATGATACTTTCTATTTGATCCCTCTTCTAGCACATATACATGGGGGTTTTTTGTTTGGTTGGTTAAATTTTTATTACTGTTACAGTTTGGCAATCCTTTTCTTAATGTTTCCTTTACACAACTGGGGAATCCCATGCAAAGAGAGTGATGCTGATCACGTAACATGCTTGTGGATTTTGTGGTTTCTCCAGTCCTTCTTATAGGCTGCTGGGAACCTCCTGCAGACGTATGTTCACTGAGCACTAGACACTTTAGTTGGAAGGACTGCTTAAGGGACATGTAATTTTCTGTGGGTAGTCTCACACGAGTATCCACTGTGCATGATTCAAAGTTTTACAGATAGGTGTCTCTGGATACCTCCTAACCAAGACATTCCTTTGCCTACCGCATGCTCTCCTTTTTGTTTTCTGATACTCTGCTGTGTATTTTCTACTTTCTTCCTCTTTTCCATACTGCTCGAGTCTCCTTTCTCCTGTTTCAATTATGTCTGTGTGAGAAATTTCATCTGGCTCCTCTCAGCCTCTTGGTGTGTGGACTCCAGTTGACATACCTATATATCCTCAAATCCTTAATCTTAATGCAGGTGATTATGGACAACTCTATTTTTTAGTGTCTTCTTCCTGTTGGGGGTTGTATGTATCTGGAGAAAGCAGAAAAAAGCTATCCCCACAAAAACAGTGTCTATATGATGAACCATAAAGCATTTTGCCAGGGTGCAAAACACATTGCTGTACCCTCTCACTGACTTGCTCTTCCCCTGACCCATTTAACCCTATTTCCAGCCCCATCTATTCCAATCAGTCGCGTTGCCTTCCTTCTGCCTTGAAGTGTGAACATGGAGAGGCTTACACTTGTGCACGGGTGTAAGCAGCAGCTCCTAGGAAAGGCTTCATGAACGGGGTGAGCTTCAACACAGCTTCAGCCCAGATGGGGTTTTGAGCATCCTGTGGAAAATAACTAGCCAGTGTTTCTCCCTTGCTCCCAAACACGCACACAGGCATGCACAGTAGCATTTATTGAAAGCACAAAATGCATGAAGAAAGGCAGATTCAGTCCCTGCTGTGAAGGAGCTGTAACACGCTTGTGGAAATCTCGGGGATGGGGGAAACCAGCCAACGGCCCCCCTTTTTCTTCTCAGAGCTCTTGCTTGCCTTCCCCCTCTGCTTTGCCACCGCTCTCCTTTCATAGCGTTCCAGCGTCGAAAACGAGAAATTCCACTGAACCTGGCAAATTGAGGGAACGGAGGGATGTCAACCCGTCTCCCTTAAGGCAAAACACGGAGCGCGAAGCACAGCTCCGTGCGCAGGGACCACCCGCTCAGGGGAAAGGCGTCGGGCTCACCTCAGCGGCCGCCACACACTCTTCCCCACAGCAGGGGTGGAACAGCGGAGGTCGCGACCACGCTCCCCTCCCTTACAGGCGGACCCCCGCGGGCGACCGACGGTGGTGACCGCACCCAACCGCCGCTCACCGCAGCCGTGGGGCGGGGCCAACCTTTGGCGGGTGCCGGGGCGCCCCGCCGGCCTTTCCCCTGGCGGCAGCCTCGCATGCGCGGGCGGGTAGGGGGAGGAAGCGGGAGAGCACCAAATTCAAATTGGTGCTGAGGAGGGAGGGGAGAAGACCGGGGGAGCGGAGGAGGGAGGAAAGAAAGAAGGGAGGAGAAGAGAGAGTGGGAGGGGAGTGTGGAAGACTAAGGGAACGCGGCAGAGGCCGGGAGAGGCAGCACGGCGGACGGCGAGGGAAGCCAGAGCTGTCAGGGGAAGGATAGGGCGGCTTCGGGCACCTACGGCCGCAGCGCGGGGCAACCGCCCCAGCCCGTCCTCCCACTGGCACCATGGTGGACAGGGGCCCCTTACTGACGTCGGCCATCATCTTCTACCTGTCCATCGGGGCGGCGATATTCGAGGTGCTGGAAGAGCCGCACTGGCGCTCGGCTACTGACGACTACAAGCGGCAGAAGACGGAGTTGCTTAAGCAGTTCCCTTGCCTGGGCCAAGAGGGGCTGGACAAGATCCTGCAGGTACAGCGGGCGCCGCCGGAGCCGGGCCCGGGGGGTGCGGGGCGGCAGCAGCAGGTGCTGCCTGGCGCCTCGGAGCGGAAAATACTGCGCCTTGGGGCGGTGGACGGGAGGGAGGGGAGCTGCGAGCTGCAGAACCGGCCGGCTCCCCGGGAGCACCCCACCGCAGCTGCGTCCCCACAAAGCTCGGTGCCTAAAAGCTGCCCTTTTAGCGGGAGCGCAGAGAAACCTCTCAGTTATTCCTAACTGCTTAATGATAGAGTGATTAAATAGGTCCGCGTTTCCTCCTCTTCCCCCGAGAAGTGGTGAAGGCGGTCGGGGTTGATTTCAGTTTTTTGCTGGCTGGTCCTGGGGCTGGAGGAGCGGGTTCACGCACGCAGTGTGCACCCGCAACGCCTCCGGTAGCCGTGAATGCAGCTCTTGTTTTAGCACATGGGGTGGTTTCTTCTGCCTCAATGGGTCTTGTGTTATGAGGCGAAGCCAGTCTTGATCCTGTGCTGTTTGGTCTGGTGTCCTTCCCCTTCTCTTTTTTTACTTTATTTTCATATTAAATCCTAAAAATGTGCCTGGGGGTTGGGTGCGGGTCCCGAGGTCAGTTGGGGTTATCGTCTTGCGTGGAGGGATGCACACAACTCTCGTGCGGTTATTCTGATTTTAGGAGAATTACTTCCTTCCAAGCCATAAGGAGTTGATAATTGTCCTGTCTTACTCATCTGGCAGAATACTTCTTCAAAACTAATAATTAATTAATAGCGTGTATTAAATCATAGAGCAGTATAAACCTGATTAGTGCCTCCTTATGGATGTGACATCCATCAAAATGTGATGACAAGAAATGGTGAGCCATAAAAAAAGCAGCTTGCTCAGATATGTGGGACTCCAGTGGTGAGAATGAGTCATTTGGGACTTTACTCCAGAGATGTTTATGTTGACTAGATCTTCTGGTCATTGTATTTTGGATTTCTTTTAAATTTTTATTTTATATTTAAAGTCACTAAGTCTACTACAATGCTAAAATCCAGAAGACTGAGGAAATGGCTCATTACTTGTATTAGTGTGATCAATACTGTGAAAGCTTAGAAGAGTTCTTGATCCTAAGAGTGTGCGTTTTAAATTCTTTCTTCATTTGGTGGCTGCTTTCTGTCTGCTCCAGATAGCAGAGCTTTCTGGTGGCATTGTTCTTCCTGTTACCATCTTAGTACCCTATTAAATGCGTTTTCGTGGTATAAAGTAGAACGGCTGGATAGAATCTTGAAATTATAAAGGGATGTTGGAAAATGAAACATGCTGGGTTTTCTGAGCAGGGTTTTCCTGGAATCTTGCTGAAATCTTATTCTAGGTTATATCCCAAACCTGTTCTCATATCCTTAAGAAAAGACCCTTATTTGGATTGGGATGTGTGTTAAGCCTGGCATGTTTAACTTGCTGCAGACAAAATGTAAATCTAGATTCTGGCTGAAATTAGGATGAAATTCATACTGGTATGAAAGGATCAGTAGTTGTTGTGTTTTCCTGTGATCCTTATCCCAATTAATCCCGAAGTGGCAGAAGGAATTTTCTGAAAACTTCACTTTCTGTTTTCTTCCAGACTTGTAGTTTTGTTCTTGTTCTTATTCAACTTCTATATGAGAAGTGATTGAAAGAGAGTGGCATTTCTTGTAGAGGAGGATGGCAAGATGAAATCTAGCCCAGCTGAAGCTCGCTGGGATGGGGGAAATCATGTAAGGACATCAGGATTTTATCCTGAGAGAACTCTAAAGTGTATCAGAAAAAGTCTGTAGTTGTCCATCCTCAACCGCTATCTGTGCTGCTTCTGTCGGTTTCTGCTGAATCTTTAGCACATTGCTAACATATGTTCTCTTTTGGCAAGTCCCAATGATCCCGGTCTCATGTTAAATCTCCAAATACATCTAGAATGTTGTAGATTTGAAAATGTGCATCCCCATCCCCACCTCTGTTTTGCTCCTGTGAACGTCTTTCTTTAGCCTCTTCCAAGGACTACTCAAACTTATTCATAAGATTTTTAACTATTTGACTCATTTTTCTGCTCTTGTCTCTTTAAATTTATTTATTTTTAAATTTAGTCTTTATTTTAGAGCCTTTTCTCTCAGTCTGCTTGAGATCCTCGCTGACACGTGCCTTTTCAGAGCCACATTGACCTTTGCTATTACTTTGCTGATGCTTTCTTTAATATCCCCATTTAAAACTCACTGGATAAAGATCTACAAATATCACCAACTATAAAACTTAAAATGGTTGTTGGTAGAATGCAAGGATGCTAAGAAATGTTGTGTTAGCAATAACAGTTCCGTTTCCAGAAGCAGCCTGAAAGGTGACAAGGACTGAGTTATTCAGAGACTGATCTCTCTTGCCATTGTTCCCCATCCAGGTTAGCTTGTGTATTCGTATGAGCCTAATGTTAGGTGTAAGTGCAATGGGAACTCTGTGTGGAATGGCTACAAAGATCTGTAGTGTCATCTTAACCACTAAAAAGATAAGTAGGTTATTGGCACAGATTCTCAATTAACGTACAAAACTAGTATCTTTGTACCAACAGTTCAAGTAATTTATGAAGTGGGTTGTATTAGGTCAAATACTGTCTAGAGTTTGTATTCTGTAATAAAGATTTCATAATACTTTACAGTAGAAATACACTCCAATAAATGTTTATCAAAACGTGTTTAGTACGCTTTCAGAAAATTCAAATGGTAACATATGCTAAAAAGAAAGCCCTTTTCCCCAGTCCTGAGACATGCCTAAAAATAAACTTGTTAAAAACAGCTTTTAGAAAGTCTCTTATGTGAAGAATCCATTTGCTTTTGATTATTTTAAATACTATATTAGTTATTATTAGTATAAGTAGTAGAGAAAGCACTTAAACTCTTCTTGCAGTAATGCTATGTAAAGATGACTTACTCTGAATGGTGTATAGGATAGCTGCTGCCTGCCCATGTTCTTCCAGATAAAGCTGATTTCTTAAATGAAAATGTGGCTGAAATGCTTCACATGAGCATTTATGCAGGCCTCCAAAGGCACTCAGCCACAACCATGCGTTGGCACAAGGAACTATGTAATCTCTCCTCACTAAGTACTATTACCTTGGAACAAAATATCTTATAACACTGGAATATCTACAAAAATAAGCATTTTTAATAGTAGTGTGACTGCCATATATATTGGCATTGTGGACCCTTAAAAGTAGTGTAATATCTGTGTCTTAATAAAAATCTATGGCTTGTCTTTGCCTCTTGATGCTGTGGGACAAAGCCCTAGGACCCTTTAGGAAGAGGGGAAGAAGACGAAGATGACAGTGATGACACCTTTGCCTGCAGTGTTGTACGAATGAGATTTGGAGAGTAAAGCAAATGTTAAGGCAGTTCAGTCATTTCACTCTTCTTCAGTTCCTTACTTTTACTCTTTATTACTCCATCCTGATTGTGAAACATCAGCTTAATGATAAAGGAGCTATTCATGCAGGGAGGAGCCCTCTTGACCTTCACCTTACTGTTCACATGAGCAAAGGTTAGCCAGCACTGGGCCACATCTTATTTACTTGGAAATCCCTTTTACTGGTGACCAGAGTCATCAAAAACTCAAATACTTCCTATTGATAAGCATCAAGAGTGATGACAAGAAAATGAAGAATCTGAAGATGAGTGAAAATGGCTACTTTAAAACAGAGCAATAAAATGAAAAGAGAAGTTGTTGGCTCCATTTAGGAGACACAGACAAACATACTGGATATGAGAACAAAAACTTGAGATCTTCATTTGAAAGCATAGAGACTCTAAACAGGGCTCAGAGAGAACTTCAGAAACCTAAATGTTTAGATCTAAAGCCCAGTGCTGTGAACAAACATTTAGAAGACTTAAGGAAAGCTTCTCCTGGGATATACATGGCAAACAGGGCATTTATGCTAAAGGAAGTAACAGTCCAGTGGCTTAATAGTAATTTTTCCCCTTTGTTTTTTTAAGTCAGGATGTCTTCTCTACTCACAAATATCAACAGGTGCATTTACAGGATTTTGGTTTGTGTGAGGATGCCGAAGTTTGCTTTTAGACTTGTTTGTTCTTGGAATTTGTCAGTTATATTACGAAACTTTAAAAATATTCTCTGATTCTGAGCACTTTTTTCCCATAATTCTTTACTTACAAGCTGATACTTCAAGGTTTGAATCTATGTGCAATACTCTTAGGAGAGTCTGCAAACTACAGTTTTCTTAAAAACCTGAGCTAGGTTTTAAATTATTTTTGTTAGTTCAATATTTAATAAAAAATTATGGCTTTTGCTTATGCTTTGTAGCATGATTGTTATTTTTTTTTTCCAGTGTAAAGTTAATATGAACAAATTTTTTGTAGTCTTTCCACATGTTCTTCAGGGATTCTAAAGTACTAGGCTTTGTTTGTTTGGTCTTTAACTTCCTGATCCTTTCCGTGGAGGGTATTCCTTTGTTGGAATGCCAGATAAGCTGTCTTTCAAGACTAAGACTTTTGTATGGGCTTAATGCAGTAAAGCTGAGCAGCTATCAGATGTGGACAGGTGGCTGCCAATGGAAAATATTTGACTGCAGAGTTGTTAACTACATCTAATACACCTTGTATAAATCTTTAAGGTGCAAATTTAGGCTTATGCCTGAGAAATAGGTATCGCTAGATTTTTCAAACAGGTATCTTTAATTATGCACCTACAAAGTTCAGAAGGGATGAACTGAGATGAAAAATGTAGGACCACTGCCCCGAGTTCTCTGTGGCATCTCAGACTGTCTTACGGATATTGCCACTGCAACACTGGAAGAAGAAAACTTAGAACAGGCAGTACTATGTTATACCACAGCTTTTGCCTGTGTGCTTCTACATGCAAACTCAAATGTAAGCAGACGTTCTTTTTTCTGTGTGTTTTTTTTTGTGGGTTTTTTTTTTTTTTCCTTCCTGTTTAACCATTAAATTGTTTAAACTTTCTTGGAACATAGTTAAACAAAGCTGATAATGCATGCAGTGCAACTG